AATGGTAACACCAGTGTGTTATGAGGATATATCCGACAGTAATTTTGTGGTACCTGAAAAAAGCAGGCTGATTCACTGACGGCTATTTTCATTTGGCTGACTCATTGGAGGACACTGGGCAACATCATTTTTTTAAAAATTCATAAAGGATGGTTCAAAGGCATTCATTATAATTTCATTAGTGTACAAGAGGCAGTTCTGAGTGGTTAAGTGCAGCCAATTTTAACTTGCATACACCAGTGATCACTGTTACAGTAAAATCTGTGGCTTTCTAGGAACATTATAGGTCTTAGCATCCTCCTGTAGCCACAGGCACAGGACGTGTACTGGAGGAGCTATGGTCCCACCTGCCACGGGACAGTGTTGTAGATGCTCACCAGCCCAGTGCAATAGCTAGATTTTTTTTTTTAAAGCCACCATTAAGAAGAATTGCTTGTGTCAAGATGCACTTGTTAAATAAAATGACCTGAAGAAAGAGAAGGTCCTAATTTTCCTTGAGTTTCACAGTACAAACTCCAAGAAGGTCAGATGTGTCCTTTTCCTCACTGGCTACATGCATATTATCCAGCAATTTCTGCTGCATTTCAAGAGGACATTAAGGTGAACCAATATAAAGGCCAAATTCTGCCAAAAAAGCTGGGGGCTCATGCTCCTGGCCATCCCTTCTTCTCCCCACTCCTGTCTGCTCTGGTCCCTAACCAGATCTCCATTCCTTGCAGTGCCTTTAGCCCTCCCACCCACCCTGCCCTGAGCCAGTTCAACACCACACCTTACAGGAAACTGTCCACTTTTCTGCCTGGTTGGATTTTTGCTAATTTAGCAAGTCAAGTGAGCTCAGCTCAGGGGCAAGTAACAGCCAGGGAAGGTGCAAGGCTGGCAGAGGAGGGGGCAAAGAAAGCGTAGCGAGGGCCACAGGAGGGAGCAGATAAAATGGCAACGAGCTATCATATGGCTCAGGACGTGCTGTGTACATTCTTACAGAAGCAAACACAAGTTTTCCTTCCATCTGTTTGTTTCAGTGTTTGAGTTAAACAGAAGTTTAAAACCCAAAGAGTTTGCATCTGCCCTCCTGCTTAGTCATGGCAGGGATGCTGTGAGCCCAGCGGCCAGCTGTTGGGTTAGAATTTGGGAACCTTTGGCACAGCGGACGCCAGCCACTTCCTTTCCCCGTGGCTCACTTTTTCCTACGGTGAAAGGGAGACAGTAATTACTCACTCAGGAGACCTACACAACCTGATTCACGGGTGCACGTAATGCCCTGTCACAAAAGGAAGAGGGAAGCCAAGCGAGGACAATTTGCTCTCTACACCTCACTGCAGCAATTGTCACCCCTCAAATGATTGATGGAGACTTCAGCTCCTGCATGCGTGCACTGAAATCCCCTTCTGAGGCTGTGAGGTGTCTCCCTGCCCATCCACAGCCCAGGGGACAGACGATGCTGCAGGATCCTACTTTAGGTTGTATTGGGGACAGTTGGTCATTATCCTCTGATGAACCTGACACTGACGCCTTCCCTTTCTGTACCTGTGATCCGTTCTCTTCTCTAATTATATTAAGCCTGCAGGGTGAAATTTTTGAGAGCGTCTGACTGACTTAAAAATTCATTTTTCAAAATAACTGAAGGCTTCACTCAAGGGGAAATTCCCTGCCATTGCCATGCCAAAGTAATTATAGCCATACCACAAAAAATTATCCTGCTATAATTATGCCAGTATGAGTCTCCATCTGAACAATATGCTGAGATATTTTCCCAGGCAGCCAAAATCCCCCGGCAGCTCTGGCTCCAAGCCTCCGGGAGGAAGGGACCTGCTCCCAAAAGCCGCCTTCTCCCTCACCCTGGTGATTTAGAGAGCGACCCAAGACCTTCTTTGCCCCGGTACGATTTTCCCATCAGAGTGTTGTAGCTCGACTCCTGCCTTCCTGCAGCCTCTCCGACTCCTCCCAGGAAGTCCCAGCTGCAGATGAAGCATTTCGGAGAGAGGGAGAGGGCAGCATGTTTGCAAAGGCAGCCTAGGTGCTCCTGCCAGACTTCCACCGCGTAAGGCAGCGTGGCCCAGCTTGATGTAAGTTGGTTTTACCCCCCACCACCCCTCCTGGGAGCTGCCTTGTGCCTACACGTGTGTGCCTGCTGGCTGGCGTGCATTTGCCCGTGCTCCCGCTGTTGGCATTGCACCCCACGGTGTGGTGGCTTCAGGGGGACGCTTGTCCCCAAAGCCTTTTGGGTGCCCCTGTGAGCGCGGCCAGGCTGGCCAGTACCACAGAGCTGCCTGGGGAGCACTGGGACAGAGGGGACGGCTGGTGCCCATGGGCTGAAGGGCAGGAGGTGGTGAGTGACCGATCCCCGCGGTGACCTTTCAGCTGTCACCTCCGAAATCCTTACGGTGCTCCGTCTTGTGCACCCCGCCAGGGAGAGGGGTGCCCCGGCTCCCTTGCACGTACAGCACAGCCTGAAATGCCCGACCAGGTGAGAGGCTCCCTGAGCCTTTCCCAGGCTTTTTGACTCTGGTGGCTGACCCTGCTCCAAAACATTGCCCAGGGCTGGGGAGGTGAGGCAGAGCCCTCTGCCCTAGCTCCCACCGGGGAGCAGCACCCTGATACTGCCTCTAGCTCTTTACAGCAGCCTTGTGCCCGGCTCTTACACCAGCTCTGCAGTTTTCTGTAATCTGTTGAAGCCCTTTCTCCTGGCACGCTTTCATTTTGTCCCCTGCAGGGTCAGTCCCCTCATTCCAGTACTTATTTTCTTTGCCCCCCACATCTCAGCACCCATCCCTGACATGCAGCTGTCCCCTGCACAGGGACAAGGTGGGTATTTCACAGTCCCAAGCAATATTATGCTGTGGCTTCCCCTTTTTTCCAGAAATCGTGCTGGCTTTTTCCCACCTGGGCAAAGAGATGTAAAACCCCACTGGCCTCAGCTGGCAGCTGCTTTTCACTCGTGTTAGAAACAACACGAAATGTGAACAGTGGGGATTCACATCCTGCATGTAAGGGTGGAAAGTGCACCTAGCAGTACTGAGCACTTACCTGCGGGCTGGATGGCTTCAGAATGGTTTTAATTTATGTTTTGGCAGCTGGGTAAATTAATCCATGGCTGGTCAAAATAAAGGTGCATGCGTCCTCCAGACTCACTGCTTTTATCTCAAGTACCTAAGAAAACATTAACTTATTTTAGCTTAAATACTGCACATTTAAGCAGGGGACCTGAGGTGAAGGAACAGGCTGCATCAGGCACAGAAATTAATTTGTTTGGGACCTTGAAGGAAAGGTAAACACCAAAATTACTTTGGAGATGAAAGCTGACATCTTGTTAATCAGAATAAAACTTGTGACTAAACAGCCTGGAGTTGCAGCAGCTGAGAGGCCAGAGATTCTCAAAAATAGCAGCACTCTGGCTTTGATTTTTTTTTTTTTTTTGGTAACCTTAAGAACATGAAGGAAGAGAAAGGAGTGGGTTTGTGTGGAGCAGGTTTGCCCAGTGTAGAGGTGTCCAAGCAGCTCTGCCAAGGCGCAGCCCCATCAGTGAGGAAGGTGGAGGTGCTGCAGGGGAGGAAGGGCAGAGGTGAGAGATACCTGGGATCGATGAAACTGGATGGGAAGCTGATGTTGAATACTGAATTCCCAGAGGATGCCCTCTCACTGGTGTCTGTACCGCTCCTCCTAGTGGAGAGGAAAGTCAGGGGAGCCTGGAAATGGGGAGAGAGGAGGCAGAAGCCGTGGCTGCCCTTGTGATCCTGACTTTGCATATGTACAAAGTACAGTCCCAGCGCTGTTCAACATTGCAGTGACAACACACCAAGCAGCTCGTTCCCTCTTTTCCTTTCTGTGGCAGGATAACCACAGCTGC